GATTCTCCAAAATTTTTACAATTTTTTTTTTCACCGATCTATATCTGAGACCTAAAATGTATCCCTTTAAATTCTAATAAGAAAGCATGTTTGTTTTTTAAGAATTGTTAAGCCAGGACTATTAGTGCTTTATTGATTTAAGGCAGAGGTGTTAGTAATGGCCTGCCAGCTGTATCCAACCCACAGAGCCCTATCATCTGACCCCTGGTGCTGCCTGTGGGTCTCTGAATTTATCTGCAGACATCCTGTGGGGTGTACTGGATGGCCCTGTACACACCCGCCAGCTCGTGTCACAGCATGGCTACTCTGGGGCTGTTCTGCATGCGTCATCTGCTCTGGGACACGCGCTATATCCACAATGTGTCTGTGGCGCAGATCCAGTCTGTGGACCAGCCCCATGCCACGCATCAGGCCTGGATGAGTTTGATACCCCTGAGTTAAGGAAAAACGTTTTAGGAGTAGAAGGAAAAACAAAGGCAGAAGAAAAACTCTTGGTTTTCTTTTGGTTTAGTGAATTATTAAAAAAAAAAAAAAAAAGAAAATCAAATCGGGGAAACACTGATGACATGATTCATATGAAGTAAGAGCATGTAGCTACTCTAAATGTATAATCTTGTTAGTCCAGGCTGTAGCTGAACTGAAATTACTAGTTAGGATGTATTGACAGTATATTGTCCCTACCCTGGGAAATCAGGACTTGACATCCCTGTTGATTTAGGGGCTCACAGGAACGCAGGTTTTGAGCAGGACCCATTTGTTAAAGGGTACCTGCATAGTTGATGACATCCCCAGTTCTGCAAATACTTATACAGGTCTGCAAATAGGACGTGTGTGTGTGTGTGTGTGTGTGTGTGTGCTTAGACGAGTTTTGCAAACACACACAAGTACCACATTCTGTCAGACATGTGAGGAAAAGGGCATAAAATGAGTCAGAGAGGGACTTGTAAGGGAAGTGGGACACAAAACCCTCCTGTTTTCAGTGTCAAAAAATAAGGCTGCTTTACAGAACTACATTTATCAGACTGTCCTGCATTCACTGATGCATATTCCTGTGCTACTGATGCTTACTATAGGGCCTGGAGTTGGGAAATGCGGGTGGAGTGGGGGCAGCAAAGTGAGGAATTCTCTGGTCCATTCTGGTGGCCCCAGCCCTTAGTGCCTGGGGCTCATGCCCTGCTTGCCCACTCATCCTTATGCTGCTGCATCTCCTGCCACTGCTCAGTCCATGAAGCTGGCATCCATCATGTGTTAGATTTTTCAGACAACATCTTTGTGCTTTCTCCCATGCTGCCCCATTATAAACATGCTCAAAGCTACTCATTATCCCCTTTAAACTCTCCTTTGCTGTTATACCTAGAAAAAATAGATCAAATATGGCTGATGTCATATGACTGCTCCCTGTCCTGCCACTTCCTTCTTTGTGCTCCTGTCTCAATTCATCCATCTCTTGTCTTTTCACTTAAATTATAAGCTTTTTTGGGAGCAGGGACTATCTCTATTCTGTCTGTGCAGCAGCTAGCCTAGGGGGGCACTAGTTTACTGCTAGGCCTCCTGAGAGCTCTAAAACATAACTGGAACTCCCTGTGTGCATACATAATTGTGTACACATCCTATTAACATTGGATTCCTCCTGGGCAGAGGTGGGCTGATATGCACCTGCCAGATCAGGATCTAAGTTAGTAGGACTGTGCGAAATTTCACCGGCTGTTTCGTTTCAACAGTTTCAACTCATTTCGAGCTTGAAACAGCAAAATCAAAATGAAACGAAGGGCTTTGAAACAGCCTGGAAAAAAAACTAGGGCTGTCGTAATGCTTTGAGTTTTGAAGCAGCCTGGCTGAGTTCCCCTCCCCGGCGCTAGGACTGGGCTGGGGAAGGGAACTGAGCCCCTCTCCAGCACTGCGATCCATTGGGCAGGGGAAGGCAACTCAGCCCAGCTGACCTGACTTCCCCTCCCCAGCCCGATGGATCACAGTGCTAGGGAGGGGAACTGAGTGATGGGGATATGTTCCCTTCCCCAGCCCAATCGAGCTGAGCCCCATTGCACAGTCCCCGCAGCCCTCCCGGGGTGGGCCCTGATCTGCCTGCCAGATGAGAGAGGCTGTTTCGAGCTTCCCCGTTATAGCCTATGGGCAAAATGTGAAACAGCGTCACTGTTTTGACGAAATGGAACAGTGGTTTCGAATCAAAGCAAAATTCTAAATGAAACGCTGTTTCATTGAAACGCAAGTCGAAACAGAGCAGTGCCGTTTTGCACAGCCCTGTAAGTTAGTAACTTGTGTGGGTCTCTTCCCTGAATTTTCCATAGCTGTTACTTTGACAGTAGATAAATCATAGCAAAGTAGTACTGTTGATAAATCAAGTTGCTGTTTGCTGTTGGCCATTTCTTGGTTCATTTGGGGCAGGTGTTTTTTTGAAGTCTGTCTACCCTAATGACTGATTTAAAAAAAAAAGCATGGGGGGTGGAGAGACAGGGGTTTGTATTCGCCTTATTAGCTGGGCAGCTTAAGCTCAGTTCACCTGGCAATAGGAAATTGCTATGTGCAGATGGATAAAGAAAACAACAACATCATTATTTCAACAGAGGCATTTGATGAGTCTGACTGTCTCTGGCCTCTGTGGCAAAGGGAGTCTTGGAATAGGATCTCAAGTGGCAGAATGAACTACAGAAATTCAGCCTTGGATTTCCCCAATACTGTCAGCCCACTGCGATTTAAAGACTTTCCAGTAATGGGGGAGATTCAGCCTATTACCTTCAGGGGGTATATTGCTGGGATGGCTCTGTAATCATCCTGGCTTTTATGGCCTCTGCAAAAATTATGGCTCTGCTTTGTATTCCTTGATTTCCACATGCATGCTGATAGAAATCGGCATGACGTTGACTTCTACCCAGGCGAGAGCAACCAGTAAATAAGCAGAGGACCTAGAGATCAGGCCTTGGGGAATGATGCGTAGGTTCTGATGAAATGCAGTTGAAGTGAACAACATGACTTGTTTATGGCTTCTAAGTCAGAGCTTGCAGCAGTTAAACAGGCCTGAAACCTGATTCCAAAAAGAAAACATTTGTAGCCTTTCCTCCTGAATGCTGTTTAAAGCAGAAACTGGCTCCACTGGCTGGTTTGTCTGATCACTCTAGCTGCTGCTTGGTTGCTTCTGCTGAATATTACCTGCCTTTTTAAATGTGATCTGTAATCTTCATTGTTAATTTGCTGTGTGACCCTAGAAAAATAAAGGCACAAAAAGGTAAATGATTTGCCTGTCTGTAAAACAGGAATGAAGTTTATCTTCCTTTGGCCACAGCTCTAGGGGGGAAAATGTCATATGCTGTTTGTTCTGTATTTTACAGATGGCTAGAAAGGATGTTTAGTTTTGATTAGTATGGGTTATTCATGATGGGCTATAGTCCAGAAGTTAGGACTCAAGAGTCAGACTCAGATTAGTTATTTTCCTGGTTCTGCCATTTACCTGAAATGTAACTTTGGGTGAGTCTCTTTGCTTCTCAAACTTAGTCCAGTAGGAAGTAAGAAGTATTGGGCTGTGACATACAGGAAGTCAGACTTAATCTTTAACAGTTTCTTCTACCTAAACCTCAATAAAGCTGCAAATTTTAGTGCAGAAAACTGGGCATCCCAGTTTGGCTGTTTTTTCCCTCCACCCTGCCCTCTTTTTTCCCCTTTTGCCTGTCTGGGGTTCTTGGAGGAGGAGAATCCTGCAGATTTATGATCAGTTAATAGTCCAGTCATGCCTCTACTGCCTTGTTGGTGCCAGCACGAGAAATTTGCAGTTGCTGTGAATCATCCAATTCTAGAGTATTAGTATGAGCCAGCAGAGTTTGAGAAGGGGTAGACAACACAGACAGAGAAGGGAAGCAGAACTCTCCTGATCTGTAGAGAGACAGTAGCATCACTGTAGAAAATTGGAATGGCTTTTTAACCTACATTACTGTGAAATTTAGTAACATTTCTGATTAACAAAATTTTCAAAAATCTTTTAAACTTTACATCCCTTCTCCTATTGTCCTTGTACATATTGCATTGAAAGATGATGGATTAATTTGTTCCTTATTTCACACCCATTACTGCAATGCGTTTTAAATAAAAATAGTGCTGTAAACCTTTCACTAGTGATAGCCCCATTTTGGAAAAAAAAGTTTGTCATGTTATTTGTAGGCTTATTAAAATTACAAAGCTGTGGTTCCAATAATTAGACACAGTTTATGAACTTTCGGTCTCCTTACTGACGTTTTGGAGTAATTCCTGAAATCTGTGATCGTTTGTGGCTGTTAATGCTCCAGCTTTGTCACTTTTGAAGTGAGTGCAGTATCCTGACTAAATCCGAACTTAACAAATTACTCGTATGCTGCATTCCTCTCTCGTTCTGATTTTAATATAGGTATTTACATTAGCTTAGAAGTGAAAGGAACATTTTGTTGTGTGCTGTCCCAGACTTGGCTGTATTGCACTAAGATCAAATTACTTCTCTCTCCCCTCACTCCATTAAATTAATTCACTGTCCCATACTTGTTGCAAATAATTTATAAGTGATGTGAAGTACTTGAGCTTCTTTTCTTTTCAAGCTTTTGAAGAAAGGCAAAATAATTGTTTTTAAGTAATCACACCAAATCTCTTTAACTTTGTGGAAGTTTCAGGAATCTTCTTTGCAATTACTATACAAGCTGACTTTGTAGCTAAAGCATAGTAGTGCTTACGAATTAACCCTACCCAATAACATGGGAACCAGAGGCATGGAAAATTAAAAGACAAGATGAGTCTCACTAGAGCCGGTTCAGACTCAAGATTTTATCTGCCTGACAGGACACTTGTCAGGTCTATGTATTTAATGCCTTTAAATAATGACATAGTCTCTGGAAGGGAGCAGAGGAAAAACAAAGCTTTATCATTATTTGAATTAGAATTTGTGTGCCTTGCTTATAAGAAACTCAGCAGGCTAAAGCAAAATCATATCTTTCTTTTTCCTTTCCCCCTACCCTCTCTCCCTTTAGGAAAGATTTTGCATCTCACATGAATTACGAAAATCCTCCACCTTATTCTGGCCCAGGCCCAAATGCTCCATACCCACCATATACACAACAGCCAGGTGGACCTCCAGGCCCCAATCCATACCCAGGCTATCCACCAGGGCCTACTGGACCGTATCCACCAGGTCAACCAGGTTATCAAGGGTATCCACAGTATGGATGGCAGAATGCACCACCACCTCCTGGACCAGTCTATGCTGATGGACCTAAAAACACAGGTATGCTAAGCAGCATGTGAAATGTTACCCTAATGGCATTGTGCTGGTGTGCATTTTCTCTGTTGTGCCTTGTCTGCTTTGACCTAAAAGACTTCAGCCTGAATGATAGGATTGCTACTTTCTGGGCTTCAAGAAGTGTCCCTGTTGAGGGGACTGGGTGGAAGATGTTGTTTCTTGTTTTGATTCCTGTGATATTTTTTCAGGTACTGCTTCATTTTGTCTTTGTAATCTCTGTTAATTGCTTGTTCTCCATCCATCTTTCACAACTGTTTTTTGCCCTCATTCTGCCCTGTTTTTCTGCAGTTAGTAACTGTCCAGCCCTAGGCTGAGAGACTTGATACCACTTCAGTGATTAAGATGCACAGTTTTATAGGAACGAATGGGAATTCTAGATCTAAACCTGGAAAAAAACGAGTGTCTGTGTCCTGTATAGGCATCCAGAACACTCTCTAGGTCTCTGGTTCCCTCCTCCCCCGCCCCCTCAGGCAGCTGCCAAGATCAGGTTCTGCAAAAATACAGAGGCTGCTTACAGATGTTAAAAAAAACAACAAACCAAAAAAACATAAAACCAAAACCAAAAAAACCCACTTTATTTTAAATTCGGTGTATTCCTGCGCCAAACATATGCCCAGAAGAGGCATCGCATTAGTTGAGACCCGGTTTGCCCAGCGTCAGTATAGATCAGGTGCTTTAGTGGGGTTTTTCTGACACTTTTTTCTCTAAAAACTGATTGAATCAGCTTTTAGATAAAAGTGCAAAAAAACCCTGCTGAAGCATCCAGTCTATACAGACACTGCAGAGCCAGGTCGAACTAATGCACTGCTCCTTCCTGTAAAGCATGCATTTGTTTTTTAACATCTGCAAACTGCCTATATGACCTGAAGTTAAGAGTTGCATTTGGAAATGCAACAACTTCTTGCTGTTGGAGGGTCTTTCTTTAGATCAGTAATATTAACCCACAAAGCCTTTCCCACCCCCTTCCTCCTCCTGTCCTCCTGCATGGTGGATCCACTGCATGCCACTCAAGTTCCACCTGCTCCAAGACCTGCACCATATGTGGTTCTGTGGGTGCCATGTGTAGCATGGGTCCTGGATTGACTGGAGTGAGCACTGTGTGGCACAGATGCCAGAGCAGCTGGAACAAGAGCAACATGTAGCACAGTTTGGCTGGAGCGGGTGCTGCGTGCACCATGGGTCCTGGATTGGATGGAGTGAGCAGTGTGTGCAGTACACAGCAACTTCCCTGGCTGAACTGCACTGCATGCAGCCTCTGTTCCAGAACCCATGCTGCATGCAGCACCCCCTAGCTAGAGCTGGGTGTGGCAGGGGTCTCCAGCCACAGGCTGCCTGGGGGTGGGAGAAAGATCCACATGTAGCACCCATTCCCACTACTTTGGAATCTGCAACATGAGTGTGTCCTGGGCCCTGGCCATGAGGCTGGGCCAGCACATGCAGGTCAATTTAGACCCAGAGCCAGCACCAGAAGCCAGATGATGGGGCTGCTTTGGCTGGAACTGGCCCGTGGGTCATATCATTGACACCCCTGCTTTAGATGTTCTGTTTTTTCCCATGTGTACTTAGTGGAGTCGGGCAAAATGGTGTCCAGCCACCTCCTGCTCTTCATTTGAGAAGGGGTGGGCTGAATGGCTGTCCTGAGAACTTCTTTCATTTAATTCTAGCATGGAACAGAGCTGGAGACTATCAGAATAACCCTCAGGTGAGGGAGCTTGTACCTATGAGCACTTTTACAGGTTATCTGACACGTTCTAATCGGAACCAAACTTTAGTTAAACTGTCCCACCGCCATTTTGAAACATGGGGTGCTGAATACATGAGATGCTGTTGGTGTTTTAATTAGAATGCCCCCACCCCGGAGCATGTATATAGGTGCCATATGTTTATAGGTTGCTTTGGCTGCAGTAAGGTGAGAGAGAAGGCTGATCCAAAACTACTGGAAATCAGTGGTATCTTTTAATTTATTTTAATGGATTTTGGATCAGACCTTTGGAGTCCAGGCCAGGAGCTGAAGACAGGTTTACCTGGATCCAGAAGTGAAGGCAGGAGAGTGCAGTAGGGTTTGCTTTGATGGAGGAACAGAGTGTGTGAAGAGTGTACAAGACCATGGGAGTTAGGAGAAAGTGGTTGTGGCAGGGAAATGAGAACACAGTACAGCAGGGAAGCTAAGTCTCTGTAGAAATGGTGTGGGGAAGAAGGAAGAGGTGACGGACACCTGGAAATTTAAGGCAGAAGTAGAATGTATAACTGGAGGTAATACAGAACTGAATGAAAGAAAGGGAACGAGAAAAACATGAGCAAGAGTGTCATGTATGTGACTTTAGTAAAAAACCTAAGTAATCATGGTGGCATTTAACTTTCTAGTCAGTGCTCTAGGAAAACACAAGTAGATGTTTATGTCTGTTCTGGAGGAAGACAGGTTCACCTTGCCCTTCTCTGCTCCTTGGGAGTCTGAAAATGCCTCCCATCCACTCCTTCATCCTTTCCCCATTTGGAGAATGTATGCTTTTGGGAAGCGAAAACTCATAGTGTTCCTACGTGAAGGACAGGCTGATATAAGCAAAACCACTAAGTTAGGAGGATCAGCCAGTCCCTGCCAGAACCTAAATCCAAACATATTCCTCCTTTTTCTTGGGAGTAAAATCCTACAAACCTTCTAATTCCTTGAGGGCTATGGGGTACTATATCTGGGGCCCTAAAGTGGAATTTCAAACAAGGCAACTAAATACTAGCCAGCTGTTCAGGTCAGCAACTTGGTTTAGACCTGTGTCTCTAGAGCGGGTTGAATGCAGCTCCTGCTGTTATCTGCTTGGCGTATAAGATTCAGCTTCTGAGTTGTCGTGGGGCTTTCTAGCTTATAGGACTCTGGGTGGCTTTGTTCAGGAGCGTTAATCAGTGCTAGCTCTTATTGGCATTTTGTGTTTAGATTTATCAATTTTACCTAGTTCCAAACTCGCTTTCAGTAAAGCCATTCACTCCTTTTTGTATTGGGAGTCTTGCTATGCTGTGTGTTTTGTTGGCATGCCCAAGGAGACAAAAGCTGATGAGAAAGGTGGGACCTTACCCACAGCCCTTCTCTTCCCTTTCACATGCTGGCATAAGGAAGATGACGAGAGGGGTATGTGGGGTGAGGAGAAGGAAAGAAAGGGATTCTCTTTTGGCTTAGTAATATCCCACTGAACCTTTCTTCTGTGCTCCCACTGCCCCCGTATCAAGCTGGACTTTCCCAATGCTGGAGTCGGTATACTTTCAAGAGAGCCCTCCCTGAAATCACTTAGCTGTGTGTGGAATAAAGTGCTTGAGAAACCCATCTTCTGGAAAAAGCAGAGCTGACTCTTAAGTAAGTAGAGGCCAATCCAATGGTAGTGCTGTAAGAATGCAGGCCGGAGCTCCTTAAACAATGGCTAATTGAAACTTGTCTTGGTTGGAGCTTGGCACCAACTGGGAAAATCTTTTGGAGGTTCAACTGTAGCTTCAGGAAACACGTGTGTTTCTGTTTTAAATTACAGACTAAATGAGCAGGTTGAAGATGTTCAGCCCTCTTATACAGGACTTAAAGGGATCTCCTGGGTCAGGTCCAGTCTTCTGCTGTGGCAGGTATCATGTTACGAAGTTACCCATTGACTAGAGTGGGAAGATCAGACTGAAAACAACTGTTTTGGCTCCCAGGTTTCCCAGCCTTAAGACCACAGCCTGGCAAAAGGGTGAAATGTTATGCTTCTGCAATGATAGGTCAGGGTAAGAGGCTCCCTTGTGAGACAACTTCTCTGAAGCAAACAATGGAAAACATGGCAAGTCAGTAGGAATTAATGCTTGATGATCCAAATGAAACCAGGAGCCTCAATTAAACCAAAAGATAGTTTGTATATCTGAATCCTGTTAGAATTGGCATTCTGCACATCTGGACAGCATTTAGCACAGTTTGGGTTCAATTGTAATTTGACTAATTTCAGACCTATTCATAGAATCATAGAAAATTAATGTTGGAAGGCACCTCAGGGGGTCATCTAGTCTAACCCCCTGCTCAAAAGAGGACCAGCCCCAAATAGATCATTTTGTACAGCTTTTGAGCTATATGTAAGTACATAGAGTTTCTGAAAATTAAATTCTAGATGCTAAAGCCAGCTAAATGCAATAGAAATGCATGTGCTACAGGTCCCAGATATCAAAACAAAATCCGATGCTTATGCCCAGGACATCAGTGACCTGTCTCCGAAAGGGTTGTTGTGGGGATTCCTTTGTAGATCTGTTTAGTCATTCCTAGTTGGTTTGGTTTTTTGGTGGGGGGGTGGGGAGGGGGAGAGGAAAGAAGCGTTTCAGCAGTGCAAGCTGGAACCTGACCCAGTTTTATCTCAGTATTTTAAGTAGCACAGTTCCTGTGTGGCTTGATGGATGAATTTTTGTTTTCCCTCATTAGTGAGGCTTACAGTTTCTTGCTATAGTAAATGGCCAGTAATGTAGTTGCTCATTTACTGTTCAAGCCAAATGGGAGTAAAATGTTATTTCAAAAGGAGAGCTTCCACACAGGTAGTTAAGTAGGAAAAATTATTCTGCTGTGAATTCATAGTCTAATCTAACTTTCTGTAGACAAGCCTTAAATAGAGATTTTGCTATAATATAGATTGACTGGCAGGCTACAATGCATGGATATTACTAATTCTGTTTTACTGTATATTGTAATGCGCCCTGGTACACTACACAAAGTGGATTCCAACTATATAACATTTTTGCCAAATAGCTGAAGTGACTACCCACCTGGTATATTCTGCAAGAATCCTTATATCCCCCATGTTAGGATGGCTCTCTGTATCAATCACTACATATGATAATCTGCTTTTCAACAAAAAAAAAAAAGGCCTTCCAGAACTTGGCAGGAAAGCAACCTTTAAAGCTGGCAGCATTTTACTAATCAAATTCAGTTCAAAGTTGCACAACCTGCCTACAGGGTAATAAATAATAATAGAATTAGCTTGGCCAGATGGCCC